CGCCCCCTGTAAAATGAATAACTTTCAATGCTGTGAAATATAAATTAAAAGGATAAAAACAGTCTAAAAGAGTTATACCACTATTCATTTCCAATGTACGCCAAAAAAAAAGCAGGTTGAAGTATTTCAATGAATTAACATAATTAAATGTTATATAATAAGAATGAATGTCATTTAAATAACTTAATATGATTGCCAAATTATAGAGAAAGTTTATGATGTTACCTGCTCCAGGACTTCTTTATAGGTAATAGTTGCTTTAGTATTTGTAACAGGACTGTCATAGATGATGGCAATCTTCTCTCCGTTACCACTTTCAATATGACGATCAACGGCATTGTAACAAATGTTAAGCATTCCTTCCACAAACCTGAAAAATAAGTGGATAATAAAAGTGAATGATTCTTTTCAAAATATATCATTTCTTAATTAGGTTCCTATAATTTTGTATGGCAGAGCTGGCCTTAAGACAGTGTTTCCCAGTGTGTGCTATACCAGGTAAGGATGGTTGTATACTAGATATTTAAGATGGTACAGAAGTGAACATCTTTATTTTAATAAATATGTATCTATTTTGATGTGTATTAGAAAAAAAATACTTCCATCACATCAAGCTGACAACTTCATGGATTTTATTGCTTAGGATGAAACCAGAGTACAGAGTGCCAAACTAATCTAGTTTACATTAATGCCATAAATTATACATAAGTGCAGCACTTAGGCATTAGGCTAATAACGCAAAGAGTAGATATATGATTTAAGTTTGGTGACCAGCAATAAAATGACAAACCTACTGGAAAATTCAATTCTTTCATAGAGTAGCTAAGTATATAATTTTTGTTTCAATTAAAAGTGATGCCTCAAATTGCATAAAGGATAAGCTCTTTTCTGCATGTTTGAAATGCTTCATAATTTGAATAAAGAATGAACGTGCACATAAAATTTTAATTCTTAAAAAATCCTTTGCAATTTAGTACTCTTCATCTTTTAATTGATCCACGCCTCTCTTTTAAAAAACAGACAACATGTAGATACATAGAGATACTTTTTGAGGAAATACAGTCATGCATCACTTAACATCCACATTACATTCTGTGAAATAGGACGTTATGTCATTCTGACATTGTGCGAGCACCATATTATACACTGACAGTCCCTGAGTTACGAACATCTGACTTATGTATAACCCATAATTATGAACCAACCTCCATAAAGCCTATTACATTAAAAATTCAAGGTACATACAGTGGTTCGTAATAACAAATGGGTGCTACTTTGTGATGCATATCAAAACATTATTATTATTATTATATCATGTTAAAGATGTTTTAGTGTAT